GGTTTTGGGGCCGGGTTTTGGGGTCGGGTTTTGGGGTCGGGTTTTGGGGCTGGTTTTGGGGCCGATTTTTGGTCCGGTTTTGGGGTCGGTTTTCGGTCCGGTTTTGGGGTCGGTTTTCGGTCCGGTTTTCGGTCCGGTTTTTGGGCCGATTTTCGGTCCGATTTTTGGTCCGGTTTTCGGTCCGGTTTTGGGGCTGGTTTTCGGTCCGATTTTGGGGTCGGTTTTCAGTCCGGTTTTTGGGCCGATTTTGGGGCCGGTTTTCGGTCCGGTTTTCGGTCCGGTTTTCGGTCCGGTTTTGGGTCCGGTTTTCGGTCCGGTTTTGGGTCCGGTTTTCGGTCCGGTTTTCGGTCCGGTTTTCGGTCCGGTTTTCGGTCCGGTTTTGGGGCCGGGTTTGGGGAGGGGGCCTGCCCTCCGGGCGGGTTTTTGGGGAGGGGGCGGCGGAGGCGGCGGGGCCGGGTCCCTCTCGCAGCTGCGAACAAAAGGCAGCGCCGGCGCCGGCGTCACGTCCCGCTGCGCGCTCCTTCCCCAGCCCCGCAGCTTTTGGGGAAAACCGGGAATTCCGAGCCCGCCCCGTCATTAACGCCGCTGTTAATTAATGAGGGCGGCCTCTGCGATGGGCAAGGTGTGGGGGCGCTGAGCCCGTCCCAAAATCGACCCCACGGGTCGGGGTGAGCCTTTCCCACCCCGCCAGGGAGGGATGGGAAAAGGGGGAAAAGTGGCTCCAAAGCGCGCGGGGGGAGCTCGAGTGGGCTTCTTGGGGGGCATTTAATTAATCAGTTTATTTATTTATGGCGTTTATTTCTTGTTATTCCATTTATTTCTTATTTCATTTGGGTTTCTTTTAAAGTTCTCACAATATTTTAAAAAATTTGAATTTTAAACTTTAATCGCTACTTACTTTAATTTTGCTCGTTTTCATTGTCACGAATTTGAAGTTATTTAAATTTTTTTTAATTATTTTTTTTTCAATCTTATTTTGCCTCCATTATTTTTTTAAACTTGCATTATTTTATTTTATTTCATTTTTCAATCCACGCCGCAATTCCCCCCACCCCGAGCCGGTCTCAACACATGCCCCGCCCGCTTTTTCCCTCCTGGAATCTTCTTAGGGGGGAAAAAAACCCCTAAAAAATTCCAGAAAAAAAAAAAAAACCACCAAAAATAATCCCATAAACACCCACAACCCCGCAAATGTTGATTTTTTTCCTGCTGTGTTTCACCCCAAATCTTTCCCACCCGCTCGAGGGACACCCCAGCTTTCCACGAGGCGGCTGAGAATGAGCAAAAAACATCTCAAAAAAATGAAAAAACCTCTGGGAAGGAGCGCGGGGCTCCGCTGCCATTGGTGCCGGGGCCGGGCGCGGATCCCCCTTCCCATCAAAGAAAGGAGCCGGAGCCTATCAGAGCCCGCCCGTCCTTCCCACCGCCCCAACTTCCCCGCCGGAGCAACTTCAGCCTCCTCCTCCTCCTCCTCCTCCTCCTCCTCCTCCTCCTCCTCCTCCTCCAGCGCTGCCACAACCGCGCCGCGAGGAGGAAGAACCGCAGCGCACGGAGCGAATCCGGGGGGCCGCGGCTCCCCCCGCTCTGCCCCCCGAACCAGCCCTAAACCAGCCCTAAACCAGCCCTAAACCAGCCCTTAACCAGCCCTTAACCAGCCCTAAACCAGCCCTAAACCAGCCCTAAACCAGCCCCGAGCCAGCCCCAAGCCCAGCCCAGCTCCCAGGCAACTTTGGCTGTGCCTGCTCCTCCCGGTGACATTCCAGCGGAGCGGCCGCTCGGGACACAAGCCCCAAACTTTCCCGGGAATTTCTGGTGGGTGATCCCCCCTCTATCCCCACCCTTTTCATCCCGAGCGTTGCAGCGTTTGGATTTTTCCGCTGATTTTTTGTTTTTTTTTCGAATCGTTGTCGGGATTTTTTTTTTAATTTAAATTTTTTTTTTTTTCCGCGCTCGGAGCCCCAGATTTTCTCCCTTGTTTTGCAGCCGCTGCAAGGGCTGGGAAGGTCGGAGGAGGCGGCCCCGCAGCTCTCCCGGTTGTGCCCGGTGTTGCCCCCAGCCCCGGTCCGTACCGGAGCCCCTCGGCCGCCGCCGCCCCCCGACCATGGCAGCGCTGCCCGGGACGGTGCCGCGGATGATGCGCCCGGCGCCGGGGCAGAACTACCCCCGCACCGGCTTCCCGCTGGAAGGTAGGTCTGGAAAACCGGGAGAAGAGCCCGGGGAGGGCTGGGGCTGGAAAAACGCCGCTCCTTCCCTCCGGAATAATCCTGGGGGGTTAGGTCTGGAAAAGCGCCGCTCCATCCCTAAAAACGCCGTTCTTTCCCTCCGGAATAATCCTGGGGTGGTTGGGTCTGGAAAAGCGCCGCTTCATCCCTAAAAATGCCGTTCTTTCCCTCCGGAATAATCCTGGGGTGGCTGGGTCTGGAAAAGCACCGCTTCATCCCTAAAAATGCTGTTCCTTCCCTCTGGAATAACTTGGGTGGGGGGTTAGGGCTGGAAAAGAGCCTCTCCATCCCTAAAAACGCTGCTCCATCCCTAAAAGCCACGCTCCAACCCTCTGGAATAACCTGGGGTGGGGGGAGAGGGGGGGTTAGGGCTGGAAAAGAGCCGCTCCATCCCTAAAAACGCTGCTCCATCCCTAAAAGCCGTGCTCCATCCCTCTGGAATAACCAGGGTGGGTTTTAGGTCTGGAAAAGAGCAGCTCCATCCCTAAAAACGCCGCTCCTTCCCTCTGGAATAACCTGGGGGAGTTTAGGTCAGGAAAAGCCTCTCTCCATCCCTCTGGAATTAACCTGGGGGGAGTTTAGGTCTGGAAAAGAGCAGCTCCATTCCTCTGGAATAACCTGGGCAGGGGGTTTAGGACTGGAAAAGCGCCTCTCCATCCCTCTGGAATAACCAGGGTGGAAGTTTAGGTCTGGAAAAGAGCCGCTGCATCCCTAAAAACGCTGCTCCGTCCCTCTGGAATAACCTGGGGTGGGTTTTAGGTGTGGAAAAGCCCCGCTCCTTCCCTAAAAGCCCGCTCCATCCCTAAAAGCCCGCTCCATCCCTCTGGAATCGCCCGCGGGGCCCTTGGGGCCGGGCTGCGGCTGAGCTCCGCTCCTGGGGGGGTTCCCGAAATTCTCCCAACTTCTCACCCCGCGTACTCGGCCCCTTCCCGCCGCGCTCGCCGCCAATTCCCGGGATTTGCTTTGCTGTTTTCCCGTGTTTCCAACATTCCCGGGTATCCCGCGATGGTTTTGGGGCAGATTCTCCTGCTTTTGGGGGGGGTTTTGTTGGAAATTTTTTTTTCTGGCGGGTTGGTTTTTTAACGTCCCGACAATTTCACCTCCGCGCCAAAGCGGCGGGGGGAAAAAAACGAACAAACTGATGGGATTTAACTTTTCGGAGGGGAAAAATAGGAATAAAAACCTTGATCCGGGGGAGCAGCGGGAAGCCGGGATGATGTCCTTGGCCGGGACTCGGGAGCTGTCACCTCGCCGAGTGTCACCCATCCTCCCTCCGCCGTGCCTTTGTCACACACGTTCCCAAAAAAAAAAAAAAAAAAAAAAAAAAAAAAAAAGGAAAAAAAAAAGAGAGAGAGATAAAAAAAGCAAATTTCTAGCCGGGACCCCTCTGGCCGCATTTATTAAAAGCGGGGAAAATTTCATCCCGCCCGTGCTCAAGTGGCGAATCGCAAACCCGCGGAAAACCACGCAGGCTGCAAAACACACAGGGCGCGGGGATTTGCTGAAGTGCTTTTCTGTAGCAAATGAAGTAAAACAGACGGCAAGGGAAAGGATCAAAGGATTACAACAATATTTGCACAACATGACTGGGAATAATGAAAGGAGAGAGCGGCCGGCGCTTTTAGCGGCTCTTGAATGTAAAATTGGCCACTCGAGTGTTATCTGTCGATAATGATACATCCAGGGAGCGCCGGCCAAAGTGACTCGGAATTAGCGGTGCATGATTCTCGCTAAATCGCCAGGCAATTTCTGGAATCGACTTTTCTTTGTAGCGAGAGAAGGGAGGGGGAGAAAAAAAATTATATATATAATAATAATAAAAAACCCCTAAAAATCCGCCCCCCTCGCCTCGCCTGGCGCTCGCCCCCTCCAGCCTCGCGCAAATTACCCAGCTGAGTTCTGCCCCCTCCCCTCCTTTTTCGCTTTAATTTCCAGCCTGTGAAATCGTATTAATCTGCGAGATCTGCCGCGCGAGGTGTTCGATAAATTGGGGAGGGGGCGGAGGAGCCGCCGCTGCCCCCGCGCCCGCAGAGGCGGCGGCGAAGCGGCCGCGGGGTAAAATCCCCTCCGAACGCAGCCCAAAAAAAAACCCCAAAACCGCCCCAAAAAAATCTCCCCGAGGGTGTTTCAGGGGTGATTTCCAAAAGTTTGTTTGAAAGCGAAGCTCCGTAAATGGAGGCGAGGTTTTTTTTGGGGGAGAAAGGGGAAGTTTTGGGAGCGTTTTGTTGTGCGGGTTTGGATCTCCTCGCGGTTTAAACGCCTGGAAGGGTTTCAGAGCAAGGTGCGAAATCCCAAATCCGGACGAATTTCCAGGCATGGACACGCCGGGGGTGTCTCGGGGACGGGCGCGCCGCTCGGGGTGGGGGGATTTTTAATTTTCCCACTTTCCGTGGGAAAATCTCACGCGTGGCGCCGGGATAAACAAACACCGGGATGGATAAATAAACAGCGGGATAAATAATAAATAAACACCGGGATAAACACGGAGCGCGGGGCACGGGCGACACTTTCCCCCTTCTTTCCAACCTCCAAATCCCGGGGGAGAAGCGGGAGGTGCGGGGAAGGACACGCTGGATTTTCCTCTGTATTTTAACTTTTCCCCGTGGGTTTTTTTTTGGGTTTTTTTGGGGGGGATTTTCCCCGCTCTGTCCCTCGCAGTGTCCACGCCGCTGGGCCAGGGCAGGGTGAACCAGCTCGGAGGGGTTTTCATCAACGGGCGCCCGCTGCCCAACCACATCCGCCACAAGATCGTGGAGATGGCGCACCACGGCATCCGGCCCTGCGTGATCTCCCGGCAGCTGCGCGTCTCCCACGGCTGCGTCTCCAAAATCCTCTGCCGCTACCAAGAAACGGGATCCATCCGGCCCGGGGCTATCGGCGGCAGCAAGCCCAGGGTGAGTGCGCTGCGGGCACCGCGTCCCCGAAAATCCGCCTCTTTTTGAGGGGGGGGAAAAGTTTTCCCGGCGTTATTTTATTTTTTTTTTAAATGTTTTGATAAAATTGAGATTTTTAGCCTCCTCGAGCTGGAGGTGCCGAATGGGTTCAAGCGGGTTTTTTGGGGTTTTTTTGTGGCTCCCACGTGCAACAAGTGGCGCGCGTTGGAGCGATGCCGGCGGGATGTGGGCAGCGGGAAATCCGGGAGGTTTTGGGAATAAGAAATGCCATAAACACCCCAAAAAAGTGTCCCCTGCACCGCCTGCCCGGAGCTCAGCTTAATCCCACCCTGCCGTCTCCCCCAGCCCCCAGACACCCCGTTTTTAGGATTTGGGGGAGCGGGGCCTTTTCCCAGCTTTATTTCCCTCTTTTCCACCCCAAACCCCGCAGCCCGGCCGGGCAGGGCAGGGCTGCGCTGCTTCTTTTGAATTAAAAGCGCTTTTCCCCTGCTCTCCGTCCCTTCCTCCCCGCGGGGACATCCCCGGCGCCGCTTGGGCACAAAAGCAGGTCGCGACTCCCGACGTGGAGAAGAAAATCGAGGAATACAAGCGGGAGAACCCCGGGATGTTCAGCTGGGAGATCCGGGACCGGCTGCTCAAGGACGGCCACTGCGACCGCAGCACGGTGCCCTCAGGTGAGAAGGCAGCTTGGCCACACTCCCCGGGCTGCGGGGAGTGCTTGTCCCGCGGGAAAGGATTCCCAAAATCTTCCAAAATCCCTCCTGGCTCTGCTCGGGTGGAGGGGGGAATTCAGCCCCCGAGCAAAGGCCGGGATTGGCGGCGATTTGTGCCCCGCTGGCTGCAAACATGAAGCCAAACCAAGACTTTTCCCAGCTTTTCCCGGTTCCGTGGGAAGCCCGGGATGCTGGGGCAGGGGGAGACCCCCAGAGGCTCCCCCCAAATCCAGGGGGAAAGGGGGAAATTGGGAAAGGGGAGCTGGCTTTGTCCCGCTGGGATTGGCGCTGTGCGGGCTGCAGAGCAACGTCCCCATGGGGCGGAGATCCCGAGGGATCCAGAGATCCAGGAGATCCTGGGGGATTTCAGAGACCCGGGAGATCCCGAGGGATCCGGAGATCCAGGAGATCCCGAGGGATTTCAGAGATCCAGGAGATCCCGAGGGATTCAGAGACCCGGGAGATCCCGAGGGATCCGGAGATCCAGGAGATCCCGAGGGATTCAGAGATCCAGGAGATCCCGAGGGATTCAGAGACCCGGGAGATCCCGAGGGATTCAGAGATCCAGGAGATCCTGAGGGATTCAGAGACCCGGGAGATCCCGAGGGATTCAGAGATCCAGGAGATCCCGAGGGATTCAGAGACCCGGGAGATCCCGAGGGATTTCAGAGATCCAGGAGATCCCGAGGGATTCAGAGACTCGGGAGATCCCGAGGGATCTGGGGATCCATCAAACTCAGAGATGCAGGAGATCCCAAGACATTCAGAGATCCAGGAGATTCAGAGGCCCAGGAGATCCCAAGGGAATCAGAGGCCCAGGAGATCCTGAGAGATTCAGAGATCCTGAGGGATCTGGAGATCAACGATATTTAGAGATCCAGGAGATCCCAAGACATTGAGAAATCCATAACATTCAGAAGCCCAGGAGATCCCGAGGGATCTGGAGACCCATGAGATTCAGAGTTCCATGAGACCCCCGGACATCCATTAGATCCGTGGATCCAGAGATCCACGAGGTCCTGAGATCCACTGGATTCATGGATCCATGAGATCCCGAAAGATCCCGAGATCCAGGAGCTCGGCCTGCAGGGACGGTTTTGGGGTCCGGGGTCCCTGCGGGGCTCTGAGGTCCCTGAAGGTTTTGGGGTGGCTCAGAGCAGGCCCGGAGCTCCATCCCAGCTTGGGAGCTGGGGGAATTTGGGAATTCTGGGGTGATGGAGCGTGGGGATGGCTCATCCCAGAACTTCGGGACATGCCAGTGGATCCTGCTGTGGGGAATTTGGGAATTATGGGGTGACGGAGCCTGTGGGGATGGCTCATCCCAGAACTTCGGGACATGGGGGTGCCAGAGGATCCCGCTGTGGGGAATTTGGGAATTGCGGGGTGACGGAGCCCATGGGGATGGCTCATCCCAGGATTTTGGGCCACGCCAGCGGAGCCCGCTGTAGGGAATTTGGGAATTCTGGGGTGATGGAGCACGTGGTGATGGCTCATCCTGGGATTTTAGGACATGGGGGTGCCAGCAGATCCCGCTGTGGGGAATTTGGGAATTCTGGGGTGATGGAGCCCGTGGTGATGGTTCATCCCAGAACTTCGGGACATGGGGGTGCCAGCGGATCCCACTATGGGAACGTTGGGAATTGTGGGGTGGTGGAGCACATGGTGATGGCTCATCCCGGGATTTTGGGACATGCCAGAGGATCCCACTGTGGGGAATTTGGGAATTGTGGGGTGACGGAGCACATGGTGGTGGCTCATCCTGGGATTTTGGGACATGCCAGCGGAGCCCGCTGCGGGGAATTTGGGAATTGCGGGGTGACGGAGCACATGGTGGCTTATCCTGGGATTTTGGGACATGCCAGCGGAGCCCACTGCGGGGAATTTGGGAATTGCGGGGTGACGGAGCCCATGGGGATGGCTCATCCCGGGACTTTGGGCCACGCCAGCGGATCCCGCTGTGGGGAATTTGGGAATTCTGGGGTGACGCATGGGGATGGCTCATCCCGGGACTTTGGGCCACGCCAGCGGAGCCCGCTGCGGGAGCCCCGGGGCTCGGCAGGATCCTGCCCGCGGGAGGGGAGCGGCGCTCCCGGCGCTTTCCCCGCNGAGATCCACTGGATTCATGGATCCATGAGATCCCGAAAGATCCCGAGATCCAGGAGCTCGGCCTGCAGGGACGGTTTTGGGGTCCGGGGTCCCTGCGGGGCTCTGAGGTCCCTGAAGGTTTTGGGGTGGCTCAGAGCAGGCCCGGAGCTCCATCCCGGCTTGGGAGCTGGGGGAATTTGGGAATTCTGGGGTGACGGAGCGTGGGGATGGCTCATCCCAGAACTTCGGGACATGCCAGTGGATCCCACTGTGGGAAATTTGGGAATTATGGGGTGACGGAGCCCGTGGGGATGGCTCATCTCAGAACTTCGGGACATGGGGGTGCCAGAGGATCCCACTGTGGGAATTTGGGAATTGTGGGGTGATGGAGCACATGGTGGTGGCTCATCCTGGGATTTTGGGCCATGCCAGAGGATCCTGCTGTGGGGGATTTGGGAATTGTGGGGCGATAGAGCCCGTGGGGATGGCTCATGCTGGGATTTTGGGCCACGCCAGCGGAGCCCGCTGTAGGGAATTTGGGAATTCTGGGGTGATGGAGCGCGTGGTGATGGTTCATCCCAGAACTTCGGGACATGGGGGTGCCAGCGGATCCCACTATGGGAACGTTGGGAATTGTGGGGTGACGGAGCACATGGTGGTGGCTCATCCTGGGATTTTGGGATATACCAGCGGAGCCCGCTGTGGGGAATTTGGGAATTGCGGGGTGACGCATGGGGATGGCTCATCCCGGGATTTTGGGCCACGCCAGCGGAGCCCGCTGTGGGGAATTTGGGAATTGCGGGGTGATGCATGGGGATGGCTCATGCCGGGATTTTGGGATATGCCAGCGGAGCCCGCTGCGGGGAATTTGGGAATTGCGGGGCGATAGAGCCCATGGGGATGGCTCATGCCGGGATTTTGGGCCATGCCAGCAGATCCCACTGTGGGGAATTTGGGAATTCTGGGGTGACGCATGGGGATGGCTCATCCCGGGACTTTGGGCCACGCCAGCAGATCCCACTGTGGGGAATTTGGGAATTGCGGGGTGATGCATGGGGATGGCTCATGCCGGGATTTTGGGCCACACCAGCGGATCCCACTGTGGGGAATTTGGGAATTGTGGGGTGACAGAGCCCGTGGGGATGGCTCATGCCGGGATTTTGGGCCATGCCAGCGGATCCCGCTGTGGGGAATTTGGGAATTGCGGGGTGACGGAGCCCGTGGGGATGGCTCATGCCGGGATTTTGGGCCATGCCAGCGGATCCCGCTGTGGGATAGGGAGCTGGGGGGGGGAATTTGGGAATTGCGGGGTGACGCATGGGGATGGCTCATGCCGGGACTTTGGGCCATGCCAGCGGATCCCACTGTGGGGAATTTGGGAATTCTGGGGTGACGCATGGGGATGGCTCATCCCGGGACTTTGGGCCACGCCAGCGGAGCCCGCTGTGGGGAATTTGGGAATTGCGGGGTGACGCATGGGGATGGCTCATGCGGGATTTTGGGCCACGCCAGCGGAGCCCGCTGCGGGAGCCCCGGGGCTCGGCAGGATCCTGCCCGCGGGAGGGGAGCGGCGCTCCCGGCGCTTTCCCCGCAGCTTATACTCGCCTTTCTGCCTTTGCCTGCGCGAGGTTTAGTGAGTTCGATTAGCCGCGTGCTCCGCATCAAATTCGGCAAGAAGGAGGAGGACGAGGACTGCGACAAGAAGGAGGAGGACGGCGACAAGAAGGCCAAGCACAGCATCGACGGCATCCTGGGCGACAAAGGTACCGCGCGTGGGGGGACAGCGGGGACACGCCGCGGGTGGCTCCGGAGCCGCCGAGTTTGGCTCTTCCCAAAAAAAATTAAAAAAAAAAAAAAATTCCCTGCAGGGAGCGGGGCTGCCAGGAGGAGGAAGAGCTGTCGGCGCTTTGCTCGGGATCAATTATCCATAAAAAAGAAAAAAAAAAAAAAAAAAGGGCCGGGAATGGCCGGAGGGGGGGAGAGGCACCTCGGAGGCCGTAAATGAATTTGTTAAACAGATTTTCGCCTAAGTGGTCCCCTGGAACCGGGGCTGACAGGTGACCGATGGCGCCGATCAATATCAATTAGGGACGAGGGGACACGGGGAGGAGGGGGATCCCCGGAGTGGTGTTGCACCCCGCAATTATCCTGGGAAAAATTACCCAGGGAAAGCGATCCAGGGGAAATGATCCAGGGAAAACGATCCCGGCGCAGGCTCCGAGCCAGGCCGCTGGTGGCGGGGCTCCGTTATCGCCTCCCAAACGCGGCGTTTCCTCCCCGCTGCCAGGAAAATCCCAAATTTTCCCAGCTGGGAATGCGGGGGGTGGGAACTGGAATGGCGGTTCCAAAAATCCAAAAATAAAAAAAAAAAAAAAAGTGGAATTTTGAGGGCGCATCCGTGAGATCCGGCAGGGTGAAAGGGGCAGTTGGAGCAGCTCGGTTCGGGCACAAAACGAGAGCATTTTTTGGGGGGAAAACGGTGATTTTTTGGAGAAAACGGTGATTTTTGGGGGAAAACGGCTATTTTTTTGGGAAAACGGTGATTTTGGAAGTCCCGGGCAGAGAGGAGTTGGGATTTTCCGGTTTTCTCCCGAATTGCTGCAAAGCGAGGACGGGCTGGGCTTGAGCCGGAGTTGGGATTTTGGGGGATTTGTGGCATCGCCGCTCCCAAATTTCTCCCAGTTTGGGACACGTGGGGGGAATTTTGAGGCAGAAAAGGCTCCCCCGAGCCCCCATCACGGGAGTTGGAAATGAAGGTGACAAAAAGGATTTTACTTTTTTTTTTTTAAGGATCCTATCCTATTTTTTTTTTCCCTTCTTTTCCCAACCTTGAGGATGAACTTCACTTACAAAGACCTTGGAGTCTATTGAAGCTTTATAAGGAAAAGATTCCTGACCACAAAAGCAAACAGAAAAAAAAAAAAAAGAAAAGGAAAAAAGAAAGAAAAAGGGAAAAAAAAAAAAAAAAAAAAGGGGGGTAAAGGGGGGAAAAACCCGAGGCTGCCTTAAAAACGGAGTAAAGGGATGGGGGAGGGAGGGCGCGTCCATTCTCATTCAAAATTCCGCGAGGAGGAGAAAAAACTTTTGGACAAAGGGCCGAGCACGGGAAGAAAGGGAGATAAATTATTCAAAACTCCCTGCTGTTAGATAGTTTTGTAATATTATCGCAGCGGCTGCTGCAGAAAGGCCGAGCCGTTGGACGCTGCAAAATGTTGCTGTGATTTGGGAGAGGGGCGATGCTCATTTGTAAATCGGGGCCTTTGTGTCCTCCAGAAGCTCCCCCCGCGCTCGCCTTTTCGGGGTGTTTTTAATTTTATTCGAGGGAGGGAAAGGAGATTTTTTTTTTTTTTGGGGGGGGGGGGTTTAAGTTGTGTTTTCAACCAGGCTCGCCGCTCGGAAAAAATATCTTTTATTTTTGAAAGCGCCGGGTTGGTTGTTTTTATTTGATTTTATTTTATTTTGTTTTGTTTTTCCTCCGCGCGTCCTCAAAAGAACAGGGGGGGGGGAAAAAAAATTTAAAAAAAATAAGAATGAAGGAGCGGGGAGCTTTTTATCCCCGATTAGCACGCAAGGAGTGCGTGTCAAGAGGCAAAACAAAACGCTCCCTTCTGCCTTCATGGGTGAGGCCGCGGACAAATGAAACACGAGCCCCCGTTCCGGGATGAAAGGGGGCTAATTTGGGCAAATTCCCGCGGCCGGAGCCTGTGGAGCGCCGCGCTCCCTCCGAGCGCGCCCAGCCCCCGGCCCCGCGCAAAAAATCCCCATTTTTGCCCCAATTTCCTGCCGTTCATGACCGCGCCGAGGAGAAATCCCCCCGAGAAAAATCGCGTGGGTTCGGGGATTTTTTGGGGTCCATAAGGAGCGTCCCAAATTCCGAATTTGCCGCTGCCCCGGCGGATTTGAACGCCTGGGAAAGTTTTAATGGCCCCAATTAAGATAATTGATGAGCCCGCTTGTAAAGCAGTGGAGGGCGGCGGCTGCGCGCTGGGAAACGCAGCAGCTACTGCACGGAAAAAAACGCAATTTCTGCACGAAAAAAAATCAAATTTCTGCGCCAAAAAACCGCATTTCTGCTCGGGAAAAATACTAATTTCTGCTCGGGAAAAAAACTAATTTCTGCTCGGGAAAAACCGCATTTCTGCTCGGGAAAAAAACCACATTTCTGATTGGGAAAAAACCTAATTTCTGCTCGGGGAAAAACCGCGTTTCTGCTCGGGAAAAAAACTAATTTCTGCTCGGGAAAAACCGCGTTTCTGCTCGAAAAAACCGCAATTTCTGCCGGAAAACACCGCGATTTACATCCCTCAATTAAAATCTCCTCAGAGCTGCTTCTCCCTCCGCCCAATTCTCATTTCCAGGTGGCTCCCACCAAAACAAACCGGCTTGAGGGAAGGAGGAGGTGGGGTGAATTTTTAAATTTTTTTTATTCAATTTTTTTTCTCCATTTCTGCGCCCAACGCGACTTCTCCCTGCGAGAGCTGCGGGGAGAAAGGGGCGAAAAAAAAAAAACAACTTTGTTTTGCTTGTTTAAATTTTTTTTAAATTTTTTTTTTATTTTTAATCTTTTTTTTTTAATTTTTTTCCGCTGCCAAGCGGGTTCTCCTCGCGGGGAGCCGGGGGAAGACAGCCCTAAATGCTCTCTCTTTTTAAGTGGGAAAGAAAGCTTCCACCCTGCGCCTGTTTCTTTCTATCGTCTGCTTGGCATTTAATAATGTTAAGACTTATTAGAGCTGGTAATGAAAACTGTGGCTGTTGAATAGGGAGCTGTGTTGGAGAAGGGTGTAATAGCTCCAAGGCATGCTAAGAAATGTATTTATCCCCAATCAGTACTCACTCTCTGAGTTCCCAGCACAAACGTTAAGTTGAAGGGTTTTAAGGCAGATTAAATTGAGCCTTTATTTCTTTGCACTTTCATCTTTAAACGGCTCACTCCAGCTAGCCCTGGGCGGATATTCATGAGGCTTCACTTTGGGGTTTTTTTTTTATTTTCTTTTTTTAATATATGTTTATTTATATATATATATCTCCTTGTTAAGAGCGAGTTGTTGTTACTGTTGATTATTATTATTATTATAATTATTATTTGGGGTTGTGGTTATTTATTAGGGAGGGCAGGCGCCGCTCTCCCCATCGCGGGGGGGAATTTGGGCACCCCCAAATTTTGGGTTGGGGAGGGGGCGGGGGGAGTTGAGTGACACCAAAGGCGGGGGGTCCCCGGAGTGTCCCCCCAAACCCGGGCCTGCCCCCCCGGAGCCCCGCGGGGTGCGGGGGATGCTCGCAGGGACAGCCGGGTTTGATTTTTGGGGTGAAAACACGGATTTTTTAGGGAATCTTCCCCCCTCTCCTCCGCACTCTGCTAAGTGTGTGCCCTCGGCTGGTTTTGGGGGAACAGCGGGATCGGGGTTCCGATTTTGGGGGAACAGCGGGATTTGGATCCCAATTTTGGGGGAACTTCAGGATCAGGGTTCCGATTGTGGGGGAAAGGCGGGATTGGGGTTCCAATTTTGGGGGAACAGCGAGATCGTGGCTCCAATTTTGGGGGAAAGGCAGGATAGGGATTCTAATTTGGGGGAACAGTGGAATCGTGGCTCTGATTTTTGGGGAACAGCAGGATCGGGGTTCCGATTTTGGGGGAAAGGCAAGATAGGGATTCTAATTTGGGGGAACAGCGAGATCGGGGTTCCAATTTTGAGGAGCAGCAGGATCGGGATTCCAATTCTGGGGAAAGGCAGGATAGGGATTCCAATTTTGGGGGAACAGTGGAATCGTGGCTCCGATTTTTGGGGAACAGCGGGATCGGGGTTCCGATTTTGGGGGACCAGCGGGGTCATGTTTACAATTTTGGGGGAACAGCGGGATAGGGATTCCAATTTTGGGGGAACAGCGGGATCAGGATTACAATTTTGGGGGGACAGCAGGTCGTGGCTGTGATTTTGGGGAAAAGGCAGGATCGTGGTTCCAATTTTGGGGAACAGCGGGATAGGGATTCTAATTTTGGGGGAACAGCGGGGTCGTGGCTCCGATTTTGGGGAACAGCGGGGTCGTGGCTCCGATTTTGGGTGAACAGCGGGGTCGTGGCTCCGATTTGGGGGGAACAGCGGGATCGTGGCTCCAATTTTGGGGGAACAGCGGGGTCATGGCTCCGATTTTGGGTGAACAGCGGGGTCATGGCTCCGATTTTGGGGGAAAGGCAGCATCCTGGCTCCGATTTTGGGGGAACAGCAGCATCGGGGTTCCGATTTTGGGCAAAACGCGGCGGGCCCGGGGTTCCCGGGGCTGCGGACGGTGCGGGAGGGGGACAGGGACGATTCCAGCCGGGAGCTGCCAGCGCCGCTCCCGCCCGGATTTTGGGGATCCGCAGCGAGCGGGGGAAGGTTCGGAGGGTCCCGGCCGCTCTGAGGGAGCTCGGGGGGACCCCCGGAGCCGGGCCGGGGCTTTGTTCCGCGGGGAGCGGGGCTGCGGGGCCGATTGATCGGCGAACAATCGGCGCGGGATAAAACCAACAGGCGGCTCCTCGGTAAATGTGTGTTTAGAGGCGCGGGGGGGCGGCCAGCAGACACTTCATCAAATCAAGGGATTACCAAAGGTTGGCAATCTAATCAAACAGAGCCCAGGCGGGATTTGTGAGTGTTGCGAGCGGGATCAGCTCTAATAATGGGGGGCAGGAGAAGAGATAGGGAGGTGTCAAGCAATTCATTGGCTTTAGGCTGAGTTATTCCGTGCATATTTCAGGCCGAGAGGAGAAGGGAAGAGAGGGAAAGAGGAATAAAAAAGAGGAAAAAAAAAACCACGCAGGGAGAAGGGAGAGGGAGGAGGGGGGGCTGGATGCGGGCG